AATTTCGGAGTAATAACACACAAATAAAAAAGATCAATTACAAAAACGATTATGGAATTATATAGACCATTTTTTTTTGCCTGCAAACTTTTTGTGCGCAAACTAATATTCAATGTTTCATCCTGATTACAACCCCATTATAGCGAAGCTTCCAAAAAGTCTAGTCAAGAGGGCATACCATAGGCTTTTACATCACTCTAGATCCCCCGTTACTTCAAAGCAAATTTCTGAAAAATGCAATCGAATTGAGGCTTATTTGTATCATACATTAGAGGTATATGAAAAAGGATTAAATCGAAAACGTAAAAAACAAATCCAAACTATAGAACTACTTGAAAATTTATCATATAATAACAAAGCTAGTGTCAAGACATATATAGATATGACTAATCAAGAAACCCAAACCCAGAATATTAATCCGATCTGCACCTGTAATCATGAGGAAGAAATCAATCGTCATGTTAAGAAAGAATTAGATATTTTATGTCGACGATTACTTGAATATAATGAAGAAACTTTTGGTAAATTTATGCGAGAAATTACTATAGAACATGAAAAGCGGGTTAATGAAAATAAGAAGTTACGATGCGAGGTTGAAGAAAAGAGGATAGAATTGCAAGAGGCAGAAAAATTCCTAAAATATCTGAAATCACGCTCAGGTTAGGCAGAATGTTTATTATCTTTTAATCCCTCGATTTCCTTTTCCAGATCAAGAGGGGTGTCCCATCGAAGTGAGAAAGACTCAGATCTTGGTTTATTCAGATCTATAACTATAAACTCTTTTTGTCTCAAATAACCGTCAATAATTTTTGAAGCTTTTCGTGGATCTACATCAGTGTAAGGACTTATAATATCTGCAAGTTTTCGAATAGAGCCCCCACCATTAAAGAGAACAATGTGAGTGGCATTTTCACGAATATCTATTGGGATTTTGTGGAATTTCTGAGCAACATAAATTGAGGAAATATTCTCATGACGACCTCGGGTGAAAAATGGAATAATTTTTTTCTGTATAGCTGGAGGGTCGGAGTAAAGATCTTCAAATATCGCTAATGTACTTCTTTTAGCATTAAACTTTTTGGGATCTGGGATTTTATCAGGGGAGAGTGTAGAAAATGTGACATCTTCATAATAGGGCTTTGATTTGTCTTGGGCAAGGTATTTATAAAAATCTCGAACTATTTTATATTTTGGCTCATTTAAATGATGTCCGAAAAGAACTACATCATTGCATTTAACATTACGTTCCCCTATCTTAGAACACTTTCTCTTCTTAAACATGTAATAAAATTTGGGCATTGTTAGCAAGTTTAAATTCATATTGGTCTTACCTGAATTGCTAGCCCCTGCCATTACGATACGAAAAGGCCACGCTGGTGCATCTTTATCTCCCTGGTATTTTTTCGAAGGTTTTACCTCATCCACGGCAAATACACAATATAACATCTTTTCGTTATAAATATATATATTATGTTTTTTTATTCTGACGAATTATCTGATTTTGATTCAAGTTTTTCGATTTCCATCTTGATCAAGCTAAGTCACTAATTATTATACCTGAAAAATAATGATCTTTATTGTTATATATGTGTCAGAGATTTATACAATTTTTTATAACGATATACCCGACTCACTATTCGTATCTGGATACCAACCGACAATATCAAGAGCAGGATTTTTATTTTGCAATGTTATAATTGCATTGATACTAATTCTGTCGCATTCCTCAATATCGAGCTTCTGGAGATTACATAAATTTGCTAATGCAGTCATAGTTATATCGGTAATATTGCAACCTTCAAGATAAAGTTGTTCAAGATTTGGGCATGATCGCACTATTATACAAATGGAATCATCGGATATACAATTCCAACTAGCATTAAGATATTGGAGATCGGGACAACACTGAGCGATTTTTTTAACAGAAACATCGGAAATACCCTCATTATTAAATTTATCATATAAACCGTTTCCATTTGTAAAAGAAAAACTAAGCATATTTGGATATGAGGTGGCTATAACGCTAATTCCATAATCCGTCACTTTTTCACAATCGATCAAGTGGATATGTTGAAGGTTCGAACACAGATGAGCGATTTCTTTTAATGAGATATCAGTAATGTGGGCACCACCTATTTTGATATATTTTAACTTTTGACACGACTTGGCAATTTCTATAATAGAAATATCAGAGATGTATTCACTATATCCTAAATAGAGATAGGTTAAATTTGGGCATGAAGAGGCAATATTATAAATAGTTTTATCCTTGATACGATGATGGCGGAATTTAAGATATATTAAGCTCGGGTATACGATTCTTCCAATTGTTTCGCTAGAAAATCCATGACAGTTGCTTATAGTCAAGCGTCGCAAGTTTGGACATAGACCTCTAATCTGATATAAGGTTCCACCAGAGACTTTACATCTAGAAATATAAAGTTCATTTAATTTTGAAATATAGAGAGATTTTCGTGTATGTACCACTTCTTTGAACTTTTTCCAGTAGATAAGAGATTTTTTACAACCAACAAATTCGACTCTTTTCCATAATATTGGGGCGGAACATAAATACCATAACCGGTTGACGAATAAGGTCGGGTATAATGTTTTATCTTCAGCAAGATATGAGAAAATTTCAGTTAAAATTTCAGGGAGATATAGAGGATGTAGACCCAAAGGGGAATCGGAGATTCGATGTTTTGCATCATCATTGCTTTGCAATAATTTAATGTACGACATGGGTACTTATATTTGCGAATTTATTCTTTATACGACAAATAACCTCTCTTGTAATTTACTTTTTATATGGGAAATTATATCCTTCTTTTTTACATGCATCTCTTAATGCTTTTGCATTGGAGAAAAAACCAGTAG